CGCAATAATAGTGCGTAAAAGAGAGGCGCAGGAGCATATGGGGATGGGGGTGATAATTCGGAGGCAGGTGCACGGACATGCAATAAAATGATGAAAGGCCAAGGCCGGCGCGTAAGCTTGTGCTAACTGGTTCGTATTATTGCTGATTCGTTTACGTATGAGAGAAATACTGCTGGTTGATTCATATGAATAGTATCCATGTGAGGGAGCTGGCCAGCCAGCCCTAGCCGATCGAGCTATATAATCAGCTCTTTTTTTAATTATAAAATAGTATTTTTACTCTCACAACAAATTAGTTTTATAAATCAACCGTAACCCTAATAAGTTCTACGCCTAGGACTAGCCTAGTAGCCGGTGATGAAATGAGCGGGCCGCTTGCACTGTGCTCCATCCGTGCACTCCACTACTCGTACTCGTAGCCTGACCCATCTGGCCATCCCCCGCACAGTTCATGCACCCAATCCTCAGGCTGCAGAGAGCACATTGCCTCGGCACCACACATGTACAACTACAGTACTAGTAGCATCCAGGTCTGCTCTATTTAGCCGACTTTAATCCATACAAATTAACCGTATAACAGTGTTTTTTCTCGCAACGAACCGGCCGTACAAATCAGCAAAATTCGATTTAATATCAGCCGAACGTTGCCAGATTGTGTGTCCGACTGGAACCAACCTTAAAAACACGATCATCCGTCCCTTGTCGCGGACATGCTGCATTGTCCGTGCTTCTCTACGTCTGCTACATGCCTACATGCATGCATGTGTCAGTATCTACGCGACAGTGCCCGGCTTAAACTGCCGGGCGACACGTACTGTACATGCTAAGCCCATGCCTCGCTTGAAGCCCGGAAGCCTGCCTGTCGCGGCTTCTGCACGCATGCACTCGCACTCCCAGTCGCAGCCTAGGAGATGCATGCATGTGGATGAGTGGCGACGACAATGGCCTGTGCTCCTGCTGATGGCTCCCTCTCGAGCGAGCCGGCGGCGGCCGGCGGGAGTAGCTGGTGCTCGCGCGGCGGCTCCGACCGGGCGGGCCCGCGTGTCGCCGCGCAGCGTAGCGTGGCGGTACGAAGCGGAGTTAACGCGGCTGCCCCCCCGCGTGTCCGTCTGTGGCCCCTCCCGCGCGCGCATGCAAGCGGGCGAGTGCGAGGGAGGGCGACGCCGGCCAATGCAAGCAACGCTGGCCGGCATTGCCTCCCCTCACGTGTACAGCACAGGTACAGCCGCGCTCTGTCACGTACGGCGCGCCGGCCGCGACGTCAACGGCGCAACGTGACATGTCCCCCGCCCGGCGCGCCCCCATGGGCATGCCGCATGCGTGCCGGCCCTGTTGGTTGGTTTTACGAGTTGTACTATTTTAACGAATAAACTGTCTTTTCAGCGAAGCAAACAGGCCACCGACATCGATGCCGATGCCGTCGTGCCTGCCTGCCGACCACAACCGTAATCTCGCTCGGAGCAGAAGCAGACACGTCGTCGGAGATGCAACGCAAGGCAACTGCTGCTGCATGCGCCGCCCGTGCAGCGCAATCGGATGTGTCCTCGTCGTTGCACGTGACTGCTCGCGAGAACGAACGTCATGCTTGCGTACGTGCTTGTCTACGTAACAGTGATCGTTAAGCTTGACGCTCTTCTGTCGACCATGAGAATTTACCATCTGCACGTACACCCTCCGTTACAAAAGACAACATATGTCTGGCTTCTGAAGAAGTCAATATTTTTTGTACAAAAAGAACTACTTCTATATTTATAGAAAGTAGTATCAACATTTATATCCCTAAATATATTTACTTATTATAAAAATAATTTAACAATATCTATTATGTATGACAAATATTTATACTTTTTGCATATATTATTTGGTAAATTTTGTAAGGTTTGATCGTTTGAAGAGCGAGATGTACGTGTTTTTTTTTTTTGACAGAGGAAGAGTACTCCGATCCTATGCATTACTATTGTAGTAGGCCTTGTACTTGTAGGGAGACTATACCACGGTAGTATAGAGCAGTGAAGTGTACTGCACCCTAGTTACTGCCAAGTACGGCGTACCAGTACAACTATACGCGCCATCAAGCAGTGACCTAGGAGTATCCCGCACAGTTGGACAGGCTAAAATTCTTTTATTTTAGATAGAAGAAACAGCTTAATTTCTTCGATCTCCACAAGGCTCGATCTGGCACGAGCGTGCAAACAAAACCTGCAGGGCTAGCTACAACTAGAAATAAAGAGCTGGCTGCAGTGCAGCAACAGGTTAGGCATAGGCCAGTGTGCACACATACAATTACTGTAACGTTAAGCTACCCAAAGATAGCCAGAGCCTCGATGCCTGCTCTAGCGGAGCTGGGTGTAGAGATGCATATGAATGGCTGCAGCTGCAGCGATCCAGCGCTTGGATCTTTCTTTCACGGTCAGGAGTAATGCCATGTACTACTTGTACTACTACCGCAATCTCTATCTCCTGAACCCACCAGGACGACATCCTTGAGGTGCCAATGCAAGTTGAAAAGGAAATTAATATCGGCTCAAGAAAAAGTACGTAAGATTTTTTTTCTGCCGGCTAATCTGCAGCGTGATTCTTTAACGAACAGTAGCAGTTTTTCGCCGTTCAAAGAGTGCACTTTTAGCTACGGTGCTAAATCAAACCATTTTCATTTTGACCATTTCGATTCTTTTATAAAAGGAGACTAATATTTGTTATATCTATTTGGGATTGATCCTAGCTCCAGATTCTCTGTGAGATTGCTCCTAAACAACCAAATGGGAAAATGGCAACTGGGTTTTGGTGGGCATGCGTTTAGAGCATCTCCAAGTTCTCAATCTAGGATTTTTGACAATAATAGAAAAAACATATCTCCAAGAATTCTCAATCCCACTTCCTACTCTTTTGGCACTTGGAAAAAAATCACTGAATGCGCGGATATATTCGCTGCCAATCTAAGGTGAAAGGGCGTGAGAAAAAAATAAAGAGGATGCAATTATACAAGACAGAAAAAATTCAAAAATACTATAGGATTCCTACATCGAAGAACCAAGGAGCTCAAAGTAATAAAAAAAACAGTTTCTCACTGCTCCTGTTCAATCTCCAACAGAATCAACCTAGAGTTATTTCTTACGAGCTCTCACCAGAATCACTACGTCGAAGGACCAAGGAGCTCGAAGTAAAAATCAGGTTTTGATCTACCAAACAGTCCAAGTGTCATTGTACATTTTTATAGTGTAGTATATATTTAGAACCATACTTGTTGATAGTATTTTTTATACATTTAGTTAAATTTAAAATAATTTGATTTTGAGACGGATGGAGTAGATGAGAGATACTACCATGATAATCTACTCCTGTGACAGACATGGACCGCATTGTTGCGGGTAAATGATGAAAAGCATAGCAAACGATTCCTGTGAAGCGCATCGCCGGGCTCCGATTGAAATGCGGCCGCACGGCCGTCTCCATCCGGCCGGGATGGACCCGGGCCTTCGATTCTCGGCCTCTCGGCGGAAATGTCAAAGGCAGGAGTAGCTGACTGCCCGCTCAGACCTCAGTGCTCTCTGCTCTGCACGCAGTCAGTCAGTCGGTCACAGCTCACAGGCGGCAGGGGGGCAGCGTCGTCTGTCCGGCGGCGCACCCAGCACCCCGAAATACAGATACGGTAGTATATACCTCAAGGTTTCTACCTCGACACACGGGTCTTCGGCAGGGCTACAAAATAAGTAAAAATACTATTTCGGCTGATTAGTGTGAGGAGGTTTTTGTGAGTGCGCTGGCCAGCCCAGCCGAAGCGCGGCCGTACTCCGTATTTGCGTATCGTACTAGGAGTATACTCTGCCGGCACCTACTCACGGGCCATCCGTGCCATTAATTCCTACTCGTCGTCTCACGCATGCCCCGGAGTAACCATGCCTGCGGCGGCGCCGGCGAGGACGGCAACGGCGACGGCCTCGTGCACCTCACGCTGCGCCCGCCGTCGACGTCAGGTCGGCAGCATGCCATCGCGAACAATCCATCAATGGACAATGGGGATGCTTTTGCTAGAAGCTCCTCATGCCGGGTCGATCTGACACTTGAGGCTGACCACGGACAGCGACGCGTGCAGCACATCATGGGGGCTCGGTTCACTCTCAGGCCTTCGTGGTCAGTGCATAGAATCATGAGAGCGAGCTCAACGCTGGCGCCGGGGCAATTGGGGACGTCCGGCCATTGGATGGGAGACGGTACACTTGTCTCCATGGAAGTTGTCACGGCAGAGTGTGTCATGCAGACGCAGCACAAACGCACCAGTTGGCATCATCTGGATTATCTTGGGGGATTGGGCAGGATCAGGACGAGAAATCTGTCGTCGAATTGTGTCTGGCACAGCTACGGATCGTTGCAACGGGGCGAAGTGGGCTCTGTGACACTGTGCTTTCCTTCAGAGAGGCCCAACCAAAAGCGCAAAGTAGAGCGAGTGGAGTAGTGGACAATGGTCCAGACGCCTATCCATCCAATCCTTTTAGACCAATACTGCAATACAGTAGTAACCAAGTGTAGAGAATCCATGATTGCAGCAGTTTCATCAATAAAAACAACCTTCAAACAAGGACATGACATTGCATTTTAATTTTGAAGGCAATAAAAGTTGAATTTGAAAAGAAAAAGAGTAGCGGGTACCATTTCGCCGCTACTTGGAGCCAAGGAACACAAAGGAAAACGAAGGTTGTCTAGGAGAACAAGCAACGGTCCTACAACAGTGTAGGAGAAATCCTTATCTTTGACATCTGGACATCTGGTTTATAACGACAGATCTGCCTTCCACGGTCTCATGCCATTGACGCTAACAGGTGATTGCCGACACTAAAGATAATATAAACTTTCAACTCATGCAAAGGCAAAGGCCAAGCTACCATATCCCCCACATACTGGCCCATCAAAAATTCAGGATCACAAGTGACATAGACAGAACCTCTGGGAGATAAGAACAAGGCTGCAAGTCATTCATAGCTCCAGGTACTCATCAGGTCCTTTTAGGAGACAGTAACGCCATCGAGCTCGGCTTGAGCTACTGCTGCACCGATTGCATCGATCACATCCATCTTGCCTTTGGTCACCGCTTCGTCCATAGGCGTTTTCTCATGGCTGCAGAACACAAATCATGCCATGAAAAAGCGCAATCATTGCTCTGCTTAATTTCATAAACAGCGATGGAAAATGCATTCATGATGATGTCGCGTCTTGAGACGTGGTCGTTGAGATTGAGCGTACCTGTTCAGAGCACTCACGCTAGCCCCAGCTGATATCAAAGCCTTGATTACCTGGGTCAGTTATTTTCAGGAGCAGCAGTGTCACTAAGTGTATTTACATCTGCACAAGAAAGCAGAACAAGAAAGCTACTAATTTTACCTCTATATGTCCGTTAAGGCATGCCCAGTGGAGGGGTGTGTTCTTCTCCAAGTTGGTGGCGTTAACATTCTGAATTTCAGTTATGCAGTCATAAACGGAACTTATGAGTCTAGTCCGAAAAACAAAATGCAACTTCAAAGGGTTCAGGCTTGGTTAACTCGCATGGTCTCTTTAACAGAACGATTTTCTATTCAGGACAGAATGGTCAGTGGATAATTTTCTTAGCTGGTAGTCCCATCAAAATGAAAAAGACCTTAATTGACTTTCAATAGAAGTCGGATTATCCTTTCTCTAATAAGAAAAGAGAACAAATTGCGAAGAGGCTTAGCTTTAGTTGAAATCATGAAACGATGACATTTAATCTGGTTCAACATGGTAAACTATTGTACGAAAAAGTAGCTTTATACCGCTCCATTTTGAATCAAGTATTCCACCACAGCAAGATGACCATTGGCAGAAGCCATATGAAGAGCTGAATGGAAATGGGGAAAATGTTAGTTAATGGCCAGTAGAACAAGAATTCGACAATAATCTTTGATGAAAACCCAGCCACAAAGTCTTTTCAGCAGGCTTCAGATGAACTTTAACTATTCCAGTTTCACACGGTTTAAAAGTTTAGGTAGTCTATTGGGTAAGAGGACCAGCCAACAAGTCCGTCAGCAGGCTTCAGATGAACTTTAAGTATTCCATTTCGCACAGTTTAAGACTCTAGGCAGTCGATTGGTGATTTGCAGCTTAATGATACTAGGCTGATAAGAAGAGGATACTGTATTTGAATTCAAAAGGAGCCAAAAAGGCTCATTGACACACTATAGACTGATGAGGAAACCTTCCACCAAGGAGCAACTACGCTTCAATTAGCATATAGTACTCCTACTAGTTTATTATTCACCAAACAGATATGCATACTGCATACATCTACTACATAATTCCACTTCACTTTGTTCTATGCTAGTGTACGACAGTCACAACAATTAAACTGAGCCCTATGTTATACTGCCATGACAAAACTGAAACAGAATTTTCTTATAAACAGCGAAGTAAGATCACTTAGAGCAGTGGACGAGTGCATAGAATCGAACCCAACCTGTGCGGCCTTGCGAATCTGTGGAGTCCAGCGAGACACCAGCGGAGAACAGAGCGACGACGTCCTCCAAGTCATCGTACCTAGCGGCCTGGCAAGTTAATCGAGCCAGATATCCAGATCAGTCTACAGTAGCGCATACGAACAAGGGGAACCACCGAACCAGAGCTCTGCGATAGGGCGGTGGTGGAGGAGGTTTGGATTGGGGCTTACGTCGATGAGATCCTGAGCCTGCTCAGCGGTGGTGGCCGTGGCCGCGGCCGCGGCCGCGGCGGGGTTCGGCTGCGCCGGTTCGACGCCCATCTGCAGACCACTCGACTAGCTGAGAAGGAGGAGAAGACGATTCTGCAGTGCCGCACTGCCGCCGGCTGCGCCTGATGCTGCGGGCTGCCGGGCTGCGGGGATTTGCGGCTTCCTGGACATTTCATTCGGATGAGACGGCTCAGCCCAAGATCAGGTGAGACTGCTCGACCCAAGCTCAACGTTCTGGGCCTTTCATTCGGCTGGAGGACTGGGCTCGACACAAGCTCAACGTTCTGGGCCTTTCATTCTGATGGAGGACTGGATCCTGGGCGGGCTTTCCTATGACATTGTATTCTTTTCAAGGATGGTTTTTTATTAGCAAACAAATAAAAGTACAAGTACTGTCTTACATGAGCATGTTTGGATCCGCTGCTCCCTCGTTCAAAAATAATACAATTATATAACAGTGTTATGTTAAAATATACGATAATGCCGTCTGACGCCAGCGACTCCTTCTAGACGGACGCGTGGCATGGTGTGCACTACAACGTTGCCTTTTTTTATTCCGTGCTCATATGCGTGTCTCTTATTCTCATCCACATGCCGCGCCCCACTCCGCTCGCTGCCGCGGCATTCTCCCATCACGCCTTGACCATGAGCCGCTAGCTCCCTCCTCGCTCCCGCGCCGTCGCGCGCCCCACCCGCACCTCGCTTCGGCCGTGCGCCGCGCCGCCCGCTCTCTATCGTAGCGCATGCCGCTTGTCAGGCTGAGCCATGGCCAGTGCTGCTGCTGGATGGTGGTGGTGCTCGGGCGCTACCGCTGTTGCTGGTGCCGGTGGTGCTCGCGCGCCGCCGCACGCCGTTGGATCCCACCTCGATGACCAGAATCGACCGGCCCCAACATTTCTCTCCCCTATGTTACAAATATATTTTTAAGTGTTTCAGATATTTTAGAGATATGTTGCAATTATTACATATGGATGTTGCAAAAGTAGAACGAGATGTTGCACATGTTGCATATTTTTTCAAGTGTTTTCAGTGTTATGCTGCAAGTGTTTTGAAAATTGTTTTTAGACGTATGTTACAACAAGTGTTTCATCTGAATGTTGCATATGTTCCACGCACATGTTGCAAGTGTTTTTATTTGGATGTTACATATGTTTCACACAAATGTTGCAAGTGTTTTATCTGGATATTGCATATGTTTCACACACATGTTGCAAGTATTTTATCTGGATGTTGTATATGTTTCATACATATGTTGCAGCAATATGTTTCAAATGTTTCTTCTATGTCCGACATATGTTGCATCCAAGTGTTTCATGTTGCAAGTGTTTCACGAGGCAAGGTGAGTGATGAGCGCATGGCCCAAGCGTTGGGGGATTAGACTCGACAGAGCTAGGGACCGACGGACAGGGGCGCAGTGAGCTGGGGGCCGGCTCCCGAGTCCCGCCAACACGGAGAGAGAGGAGGGGTCTGAGGAAGGAGCGGGGCGCGGCGACAGGAGCAGGGTGCGCGTGCGAGGCGAGGATGATATGGGTGGGGGCGGGCTACGCGTGTGGCAGAACCGCTTGATTTAATCCGCTCTTAAGAGCACTTATCTTCCATTAAACACTAAGTACCCAAGTGAGCACACTAAATCCAACAGTTCTATCGAGCACAGCCAACGGAAGAACTCGAAAATCCATATTTTTTATCAGGATCATAAATAAGTGGATAAAACTTACAACATTCTTAACCATTTCATACATCACATGATTACATAAATCAGAGTTATTACAAAAACAAGTTTTATACAGCAGCGGAGATAACAATTATAGTGTTACATGAATAAGAGTTGATACTTTATAGATTTACATACTTTTATCTTGAAGCAGAAAAATAATATGTGATCAAAGTTGTAGGGGAAATAAACATTTATTCAGAGACATGTCTAAGCATTTCACATGGTAAATAGTTATACAAAATATGATAGCAGAATTGACTTATCTTTATAAAACATTTGATAAAGGTTATAAATAAAAACTACTACTGTAGCGTATTTTTTTTGCTGAGCCCACCAAGAGGTATCCACACACAAGCGTTAGCTTCACCATCCACCTGTTACCTGCAATAGGAGAACAAAACATAATGTACTCCGTAAAACTTATCCGACTAGGTAGGAATAATTTCTCGACTCTCAAGGGGATACTGGGGCTATTTGGTTTGCTGGTTTATTTAACTTTGCAGAAAGCATTACCAAAAGTGCATCCCTATATTAAAATGTTAGCAGTCATGATTAATTCATTAGCTAATCATTCTAAGTAAGCATCGGTTCTAGTTTCAAGTATGTGGTAAGCAATCAAAATCATTTTAATTCCATCATCCATGTTTCAGTTCTTACTACGGTGCCAGACTACACTCAAGCATGTACCGTCTCAAAAGAAACGGCGATTCAAGAATCGATGTATCCTAGCTGGGTACCCCTCAACACACGTCTGCACCCCAAAGCACATACAAGACTAGCCCTTCCCAATCCTGTCATGGGCTCCACGTCCCGCCCAAACTTGGACTCCAAGTCCCAACACTGCAGCCAATGTGGTAGGCTGGTGCCCTTAGAACTCCACCTGTCCCCGCCTCCATACTAGCTAGCTCGGAAAGAGTCGGAACCCATGACAAGAGAGGTACAAAGCCTTCCCGCCCCACGTAGCAAGTATGTGAGAGGGACATTGAAACTTGACCGGTATCCAAACAACGGACGATCCTTAATTGACTCAGGCAAGAAACCGTGCACCTAAGACAAAGCCTTACGGCTGCAAGACCCATCCTGCTACACCGACCAATATCCCTAACAACCTTTCTTCTTTCCCACCCGGTCACCAATTACTTTCCACCATTTTTCATGAGAGTAATAAGTAACCTATTGTGAGCAACGACAGGTCGCTCATGTTACCGACGAGTCCTAAGCATAGCAGCTACATGAATCTGCAACTAGTAGGACTCATAGTATAACATTTTTTGCATGTGGGTTCCAAAAATTATAGGGGTCATGCATCGGGGCTTCTCTAGGTAACTTGTACGCTACTAAGTTAGTATTGCTTCGTCTTCGGGACACGATCCACCATCACCTCCAGGACCGAGTCACCATTACACCTATCGGATACCACAAGAAGGGGTACCCTAAGCGAGAACCGAAAATATTGCTTAAGCCTTGCAAAAATCAAAGCCAAAGGACAACCACGAGGTCTCGGCAGATTCTCCGATTCGTCCGAGGCTTGCGCCGAGGCCTCAGACGAAAGGCCAAAGCTCTCCGCCCCGCCGAGGCCCTCTCGCCAAGGCCCCGCCCCGCAAGGCCTCGGACGGGATACCAATTCTTCGATTCGCCCGAGGCTAGGCTCGGCAACAACCTCGTCACCTCCGTCCCGACCGACTCCTCTAACAAAACGTCGGGTTCAGTTAATGTGCCCAACTACTCCCGCAATGTCACCGTGACGTTGGCTGATGACAGCAGAGTGACCGACGGAGACGAGGGGACCGGGCGCAGTGAGGGGTTACACCGCCATCGTGCTCATCATCATTGTGCCCCCCGACGACACCCGTACTGCCCTGTGCTACCAAACTCCTACACCAAGGACAAAGCGGCGTGGAGGGTCAAGTCCGGGTCCCTGTAGTCTCGGAATCAGCATGAAAGACCAACTGCTCGTCCGAGACCCCCCGACAGGGCCTCGGACGTACTATTCCTTCTCCGCCTCGGCCGAGGCCGGGCTCGTCCCGCATCCTCGTCGCCTCCGCCTCAACCGTCCCTCTGGCGAGCCGTCCCATCCGTTTAAAGTGCGCCTGGTCACACCTACTACGTCAGCCACGACTGGTAGGGTACAACAACAGGGGCGATAGGACAGCGGTCAAATCTCCTTTTTACCATCCCCTACTGACGGTGCAGGGGTTACCTTGCCCTGCGGACACACGCTCCACACTCTTCCACCTAAACCGGGCACGACGCTGACCATCAAGACCCCCACATCATACACGGGTCACCTCCGAGGCCTCGACAAAGCAGGCCTCAGCACGATTAGCTACAGCACCCGCCAGGCCTCGGCACTCCGCCAAGTCAAGAATCCATAAGGCACGGTATGTCTCCTATAGTGGAGGCCATACTGACTAGACGTCAACAAGGACTCCCACGACCTCAAACAACCTCGGGCCTAGCCAGCACGACACGCCAGTCAGGTACCGATCGCCATTCCCAACACCATGCTGCTACAGGACTGAACTACAGTGGCTCCATGTGCAGCTCACTCATGTACTCCTGGCTCCCTCCTTGCGGCTATAAAAGGAAGCAGCCAGAGATAGCTTTAGTGGAGGCGAAAAAACATACGAAAGAACCACGCTCTCACACACGCGCAAGCAACACTTTGTAACACACGCTCTCCCAAGCTGTCTGAGAGCAACGTCTCAAGCAGCCCGCACCGTTCCACGCCGAGACCTGAGACTAGCTCCCTCTCTCACCCAGCTTGTAGCTCCCTACTACAAGCACTTCGGTGCAAGGAATACAAGATCGATCTCTCAGACTGGACGTAGGGCACCAATTGCCTGAACCAGTATAAACCTTGTGTCTCTTTGCATCACCATCCGGGATTAGGGGCACGCAGTTCAAATTCACTGGTTGGTTGAGGACCCCCGGTCCGAAACACCGACAACACCACTCCTCCGTTTGACGCCAACATCTTTCAATTGATCCATCGATTCATCGTTGTTCCTAAATGATATGCATAAATGTGATGCATACTTAAGTCAAACAAGCATGTGACACCATGATAAATCTATAACTTAATATTTTATTAAACACTAGAGCCATATTAATTGTTCTTATATCACAAAAACATCATACAAAGGCGGTGGAATCATATTTTCTATTTTTACACACTTTAATTATTTAGAAACTATTTAACAAGCCTAAACAAAAGGTAAACCAATAACTGAGTCATACTTGCACCAATGAAACTGAAATTTTTACTACAGATCAAAAATCATGTGAATAGCCTACCATGAAAATTTTATAACAATTGGAGTAACATAACTGC